AGAATATTCACATTAGGCCCCAAAACAGCATTTTTCCACAATTTAGTCCTTAACTCACTTAAATATTCTAGAAAATTTTGGGGTATCACACACCCATTGGCAAAGTCAAGAATTCCTCAAATGAGAAACCAAAGACGCAACCTGCTAAGAGGAAAACGTCTTCTCCACAAATTTCTGATAAAGAGGATGCACCAAATAAAATTGCAAAAGGTAAATTTTCGACCTTCATTGTTTTGCTTCTTTCCTTGTATGAAACTAATCCAACTTTATGCAACAGCATCTATTCATAGTTCCACTAAGATTGCGGTCACAAAGGTCGATCCTCCTTGCTCAATGACCAAAGCTATTCGATCTTCCCCTAGGGTTACAAGCCAATTTTTTCAAACTGTAGAATCAAATGAGCAAGCCGACTTCACAAGAGAAGAATTGCAGCCGGTCACCACCTCACCACCTCACCACCAAGGCCTATTGCTCCTACATAGGTAGATACACGTACTTTCATCATGTTTCTTGCTGCCACTTAATTAATTTTTTTCTTTTAATTCACGTGGCTGCCATATGGATTACAGGCTGCTTCACTCATGATTGAGATAGATGATGATGCCCTTGAGAGTGAGGTTTTTGCTCAACTGGACCTCTTGGATGAATTCTTGGAAATAGAAAGGTCCATGCCTCCTAGCTCAAAAGATAAGATCGTGGAAGAAGAAAAGAACAATCTGGATATCCCTTCTCAGGAATCCATCAATGCTGCCACCCACCTTCTTCTTGAGCTATTGAATGGTAATCCATCTGAACTTTGCCAAGTCGTTGATCAAAATGAGGCATTCAATGCTGCTAAGGTCTTAAGTAAGGCTCCCACATTGGATGCATCAGTGCATATGTTCTGGAGCAATTTCCCTACTGTTTACAAGAACTTTAGCCAGCAGTTTATGAATGAGAAGAAAGTTGTGTCAGAAGCAACCGCGGCTGCAAATCTTGCTCGGCAATGTAAAGATGCAGTAGAGAAAAAAAAGAGTATTTATGAAAAGGTGAAAAATAACATTAGCACCCAAATGAAGCTGCATCGAGACAACCTAGATGAGATTGCCAAACTAAAAGCCTGCCTTGCCGAGCTGAAAAGGGCAACAACAAAGGAAGAAGACAACCTCAAATCCCTTAAAACCGAGAGAAGCAAATTACTAGTTGAGCTCAAGGAAGAAGGATGTGAAGCTTTGGCTGCAAAGAGTGAGGCTGCACAACAGGAGGAGAAAGCAAAGGAAGCCAACAATACGCTGCAGCAAATGAAAGATGAGTGGGCCACTTGGACGCAGAACCTTTGCTAGGTTTTTTTTTTTCTTTTTCTAATGATGAACATAAATTTATTTGCTTGCTTTATTCATGCTGCCCACGGCTTTATAGACAAAGCCGCTCTAAAACACAAATGTAAGAACATGCCATGCCTCCTTGGCAGCACCAAGTCTTATGTATGCTTCCATGGTTCAAGCCAAAACTCTACGTGTCCTTATTAAAAGAAAAACAACTTGAATCAAATAATATACAAATGTCTGCAAACCTGGATCATGCAGACGTGGAGGCAGAACTATCCCGTGCCTCCCACACAATCGGATAATATGGTTTCAAGTAGATGCCATTGATCTTGCGCAAATGCAACTCCCCATTCAAAGACTTTAACCAGTAAGCACCCCCTTTAAGAACTTTATGAATTTGGAATGGTCCTCCCCAATTAGGGGACCACTTACCATATCTGGGATCCTTCTTGCCAAGTGGCAGCACAGCCTTCCAAACCAAGCTTCCTTCGGTTAAATTCTTTTGCTTGACCCTTTTGTTGTAAGCTTGTGCCACTTTAAGCTTATGGGCCTTCATCACATCCAATGCTGTTAGCCTTGCTTCCTCAAGGTCTTCCAATTCCATGATCATGGCCTCATTGTATTCCCCAGAATTCAATCCATTTTGAATTGCAATCCACAAAGACCTTGCCGTTAATTCCATAGGTAAGACAGCATCATGACCATAAGTAAGCGAGAATGGGGTCACCTTAGCTGAACTCCGTTGTGAGGTTCTGTATGCCCAGAGAGTATCTGAAAAAAGCTCATGCCATCTCTTGGGATTATCATCAACCATTTTCTCCAGGATGTTGATGATAATCTTATTAGATGCCTCTGCTTGACCATTTGCTTGTGCATAATGCGGAGTTAAATTAAGCAAATGAAATCCCATGTCTTTTGCAAAGGCCTCTGCTTGAGATCCAACAAAAGCAGTACCTTGATCAGAAGTGATAGTTTCTGGAAGACCAAACCTGTGGATCAAATCCTCTTTTATGAACTTGATGACATCTCCTTGCTCAACCTTCTTCATAGGCCTTGCCTCCACCCACTTAGTAAAGTAGTCTATAGCAACTATTATGAAAGAATGGCCTTTAGAAGAAGGTGGATAGATTTTCCCAATCAAATCAATTGCCCAGCCACGAAAAGGCCATGGCTTGACAATAGGATGAAACTCAAATGCTGGCGCTCACTGCAAAGGACCATGCAGCTAACAAGCTCTGCAGCCCTTCGCATAATTGATGCAATCCTTAAGAATAGATGGCTAAAAGAAACCGTGCCATCAAATTAGCCATCTCATCTTAATCCTTGCCTGATGAGCACCGCAAATACCATTATGAACATCTAACATCACATGGCAACTTTCATCAAGACCGAGGCAACGCAATAATAATTCATCCTGCCCCCTACGATACAAGACATCCCCGAGTAGCACATAGTTTAAAGCTTGCATCCTCGTTCTCCTTGATGTTTTAGAACTGGGATTCCTCAAATGTTCTATTATTGGATGCCTCCAGTCTGTAGGTGTGACATCTAGTGAGCATGCTTCCACCGTTACTCCTCTTTGATGAATTGAAGGCAATATACGTTTCTCAATGACGATGACTTTCTCCAAGATGCCTTCAGGCATTTTTACACTAGAAGCAATCTGCGCAAGTTCATTTGCTTCAATATTCATGTTGCGATGAATATGCTTCAGGGAGACATCATCAAATTCCTCCAGTAATTGGATGGCAGTGGCAAAATATGGAGACAAAACCATGCTTGTACACTTGTATTCGCCACTCAATTGCTTGAGAACTAATTGAGAATCACCCACAATTTCAACCGATGGCACATTCAACTCTACCAACAACTCAAGGCCAATTACCAAAGCTTCATATTCTGCTTGGTTATTAGTGCATTCAAAATCCAATTGAAAACACCATTGGGTTTTTATGCCATCTGAAGAAACAATAATAATTCCAGCTCCGAAGGCTTGATCAGTGCTAGACCCATCAAAAATAAGCCTCCAAGGAACCAAGTCAATCGAAAAGAGATTGATTCCCTTGTCTTCATCAACGTTAATATCTAAACAAGGATGATCTGCTAAAAAGTTTGCTAAAGCCTGTCCTTTGACGGCCTTTTGAGGCAAATATCTCAGATTAAATTCAGTAAGTGCAAGAATCCACTTACCAATGCGGCCTCTTAAGAGTGGTCGCGACAGCATGTATTTTATGACATCAGTTTTTGAAACAACAAACACCTCCGAATACAATAAATAGTGCCTCAATTTTATTGCTGCAAAGAACAAAGCCAAATACAATTTCTCAACCGAAGAATATTTCACTTCGGTCGGATTCAAAGCTCTACTCAAATAATAAACAGCTTGTTCTTGTTTATTATTATTCTCTTGTGCCAGCAGACAACCAATTGACTCATCTGCGGCGAATATATACAGCAATAAAGGTTTATTCTTAACTGGAGGAACCAACACAGGTGGCTTGGACAAGTATTCCTTTATGGCATCAAAGGCGGCTTGGTGCTGCCTCTCCCATTTAAAATCTGCATCAGGCTACAACTTTAAAAGAGGTGAAAAGACACGAGTTTTGCCCGCCAAATTAGAGATAAACCTCCTTAGGAAATTAACCTGACCAAAAAACCTTTGTAATTCCTTTTTATTTTGTGGTGGCCGCGCTTCAACTATGACCCTTGCTTTGTTTTTGTCCACCTCTAGGCCTCGTTCATGGACCAGAAAACCCAAAAAATTCCCTGCTATAACACCAAAAGCACACTTGAGAGGATTCATCTTCAAACCATGTTGTCGCATTCTTTCAAAAGCTTTTCTCAAGTGCTCCAAATGTTCTTCATCCTCCATGGATTTAACAACAACATCATCGATATAAATCTCCATGAAGCGGCTAATCATATCATGGAAAATTGCATTCATGGCCCGCTGATATGTAGCTCCTGCATTTTTCAACCTAAACGGCATCACAACCCATTCATACGTACCTATGTTTCCAGGGCAACGAAACGCCGTTTTACTTATGTCTTCCTCTGCAATAAAAATCTGATTATAGCCACTATGCTCATCCATAAAAGATAAAATGCGATGGCGTGCAACCCCATCAACAAGTAAATCTGCTACTAGCATGGGGTATTCATCCTTTGGTGTGGCTAGATTTAAGTTCCAAAAAGCAATGCAAACTCTAAGCTTTCCATTCTTCTTCACTACTGGAACAATATTAGACAACCATTCTGAGTACCTGGCTGTCCGTATAGAACCAACTTTATGCAGCCGCTCCACTTCTTCCTTCACCTTCAAAATCACTTTTGGAGACATACGGCGTGGCGGCTGTTTGTATGGCTTATATCCTTTGTTGATTGGTAGTCTATGCTCTACCAACTCTCTGTCTAAACCTGGCATCTTAGAATAATCCCAAGCAAAGTAGTCTTTGAATTCATGTAGTAAACAAATTATTTGATCTCGCATCCCTGGCGGCAACAAGCCACTGACAAAAGTAATGCGTGGCTCTGCCTCCGTTCCCAGATTAACTTCCTTCAATGGATCTTGTACATCGACCCTGAGGTCATCCAGCTTCACAGGGGCTAGATCTAACTCCTCCATTGTGACTCCGTCGGTATGGGTGTCCTCCTCACCTTCATGTACCACTTCTGACAGATTTGCTTCTGTATTTCTTTCAGCAAAATAGGCCACTAATTTCTTTAGAGTTTCAAATACGGCTTCCCTTCTTTCTTTGTTTATCCTGGATTTCTTCATAATAGCTCCTTAATTTTGGGCTCCTCTTGTGGCCTATATGGAATAATGGCAGTAGGCCGCAAGAGTTCATTGCATACCTCGTCAACCACATACTTAGCCAAGGTAGGCTTGTTGCAATAGTGATTCCACGAGGTCTTCCTTGTCTATCCATGCCGAAGAAACAAATGGTTCCTACGTCTTCATCATAGTATTGTGCTTCCACCATATTGGAATTGGCTAAGAATGGTCTGTTGTCAACATAAACCACCTCAGTCTTGCCTCCATTCCAAAAAATGAGTCTTTGATGGAGAGTAGATGGAACACACCAATTCGAATGGATCCAATCACGTCCCAGTAATGCATTATAAGTTGCAGAAGAGTCTACAACAAAGAAAGCACTCATTGACGTCTTGCTGCCGACAGTAAGTGCAACCGACAGCACTCCTTTTGATTTGTTAACACCACCTATGAAATCACTGATGGTTACGTCAGTATAAACCAAGTCCTCAGAATTTTTACCCAAATTCCTCAGCGTAAAAGAAGGTATGACGTTGACTGCTGCTCCATTGTCAACAAGGACTCGATTCACTGGAACTCCATCCATGTGAGTTGAAATGTAGAGTGGCTTTATATGACAAGCCACACTTTCATCTAGTTTGTTAAAGATAATTTGTTCTAAAAGGATATCGTGCTCCTCTTCCTCTTCTTGGGCTGGAACCTCTATCACTTCTTCTTCAACAAACATGCTGCCATTGGAAACATGGGTAGGAACATAGGTAGTCTCGCTGCCCTTGGCTTGAAAAACCAAAGGAAGTGTGAGAACCAAACAAGAGAGGTTAATAGAGATGCTGCCGATCTGCAGAACATCCATGTCCTCAAGAAGATTATCATCGCTAGTCAACTCTGCTTGCTAATCTGCTTCAAAGGTTGCCTTCAACTCATTTTCATCGACGATCAATGAGGTGAGCTTAGGAGGTGGCACCTTTAGCTGAGATTCATTCTGGACAGCAACCTCTTGACTCTTTTTTCTCTTCCACACCATCATTCCCTTTACGAGAGAACGTTGTGGAACCTTAAATTCCTCAATAGCTAATTGTTGACGACGACGTGCCTCTGCTCACTTTCGTTGCAACCTTCTTTTCAAAGTTCTAGGATTTCTCACAGGTTCTTTTGGAAACTTGGGATGCACGACCTTCTCCCACCTTTTACTTGGAGGTCACTATGGAGGCTTAACTATACGAGAGCGATCTGTATGTCGAGCCTCCTTCATCCTGGATCCAGATGCATAGATTCTGGCAACATGGTGTTGCCCTCCGAGCCTCTGATTTTGTTGGGCACGATGTTCCCTTTCCTTCTCAATCACCCAGCGAAGGTCATCTGCAGCCAAAGTTCGCCCTTTATACGTCCTTTGAGAGATGCTCCTTATGTCATCAACATTAACTCCAACATCAATGTTCGGAAAAGGATTCTCACCAACCCCTATGACTTCCTTGGGTTTTTCAGGGAAACGAAGCAACCCTTTGTCAATCTTGTCTTGCAACACATTTCGAAAAATAACACAGTCATTAGTAGGGTGTTTCTAGGAGTTATGAAACTTACAGTAATCTTTGGATGCAATTTCAGCAACCGTTGGGAGCCTATGCCCCTGCGGTAGCTTAATATGTCCTGACTTTTTCAAATAATCAAAGATTTCATTTGCTTTAATCACATCAAATGTGTATTGTCTCCTAGATTCATACGAGAGATGCTTTGCAGCCGCCTCAACCTGTTGAGTGACTTTCACTAGATTAGGACAAGTTACTAGCTTGTCTGCAAAGACCACGGCAACATCAAGGTCAAAAGCATCCTGATAATAAGTTCCTTGCAACATTGCCTTTCTTTGGGATTCCTCTCTTAAAAGGTTCTCATAACGTGCCACCTTATAAGAGAGCTCAAAGAAGTCTCTGAATTCCATCCCCTCAAACTTCTTTTGAAGTTCAATGTCTAAACCATTCTGAGCAAGCTTCACGAACTCTTGCTCTGGTAAGGCAACATGGCACTTCATCCGGGCTTTTCTAAACCGCATAAGATAATTTTTTGAAGATTCCCCTGGTCGTTGAGTCAGTCTAGAAAGATCAGCCATGGATATCTCAGGCTCTGAGCGGTAGAATTGAATATGAAACAAATCTTCCATTTGTCTCCAGGTGAACATAGAAATTTGCGGCAAACTTAAATACCATGTCAGTGCCGTACCAATTAAAGAACTTGGGAAGAGTCTCAACTTCAAAAAATCATCACCCGATGCCTCCCCACATTGAATAGTGAACCTACCAATGTGTTCAATGGTTGACTGGCTTGCGTCCCCAGAAAACAAAGTAAATTCAGGCACTTTGAATCAACGAGGAAATGGATTATCCCGATCTATGTAATCTGGATACGGCTTATGATAGGAAGGACGAACCAATGGTCTTAAAGCTGGACCATATGTCTCTTGGACTAGATCAATAAGTTGATTTCTATCCAAGGGAAGGGGTGCTGCTTGCAACCCTAATGGTTGTGGTTGAAAGGCATTATTCTGGAAGTTGGGCTATGGGGCTGCATTTGGACGACGTGCAGGAGGTACATATCTTTGTTGATTGGCGTTGAGTTGCTCAGCTGCACGGAATGCTACTTCCACAGGATCTTGTGGTCCAAGGATGCCACCAACAGGATTGTTTTGTTGCTGCCTATTGAACTGCACTTGGACTGCACCTGGACTGCACCAAGAGCATTATTTTGAGCATTGGGCATCTGTTGCACCACCTGTGGCTGATTAATATGCCCCCCGTGCCCCCCCGGGCAAAGGATCTGGAAGATTTTGCTGTGGTAATTCCATTGCTGGAGGTACGGGTTGCCTTGGAACATTTTGTTGCTGTCGAACATGTTCTATGGTTCTCTCAGAAACTGCAGTGAGGGTTCTGCGACTTTCTGCTACTTCTTCTCGAATAGCTCGAGAATTGTCATGAATGGCCCTGTCAATAACATTCAAACATTGAGTGAAATGATCTGAATGTTTTCGTTGGGCTTGTAGAAAGCTTTGTAGACTATGCTTTATGTTCTGATTGGCTTCTTCTTGTAGCTTCCTTATCTGCTGAAGTTCTTGAGATATTTTATTGCTTGACTCAGTAGAATCAACTTTCTCCTCATCATCATTGCGATATATGGGATTGCCATATGATCGATCTGCCAAGGGAGAAATAGGTGGAAGATGCTTCGGACTATTTTCACCTTCGGAATGTCTTGGACTCACAGGAGCCACTTCCACTTGTTGTGCAACTTCTTTTCCAACTCTCCTAGGCATGGTTATGGCTGCTTTATGCCCAGGAAAAGCAAAAAGAGGATCAAAAAACTTTTCTTGATAAACGATCGCTAGCAGGAGGTCCCACTGGGCGTGCCAAAAAGAGATTGTTATCCCAAAAAATCTCCTTGACACGCGGCAGATGAAATGGCGTGCCACTTGCTTTGCTCAAAACAAGAAAGATTTCTCCGACGACCCTCTCTTCTTTCCAAGTGTGGAACTTAGCTTGTGAGTTGATGGAAGAACGTCGTGAATTGCACCATAAAGGTCAGATGATTGGCAGAAACGAGTGATGAACTTCCTGCACTAAATGGGTTATACGACAAAATGCCCTGGATATGATTCCAAGGACTCCTCAAAGCTAATGTAATCAAGAAAAGTTAAGACTGCAAGGTAAACAAATGATCGCTAAACTACTGAAAATCTAAATGAACTTTAAATACGCAAACTGAATTGAAACAGAGCTTTAAAGGGAAATTTAATTGCAGCAAAAGTAAATTAAGTTAAAGTAAATAAAACCCGAAGCATGAAAAATCTACTGGCAGCATGAAATGTAAATTAACAGAA